GAGGTGGGTTTTTCTGGCTCAAATGATTAATAACAAACTCTAAAGTGAAAACTATTCAAAAATTGTTATTTTACAAATTGTCATTGGATTATTACAGTAGACTCAATTTTTTTGAATGGACTTTTGAACAAATTTGCTAGTAGACCCCTTTTGTAGAAGCCTACCTTAATTAGTTTTATGAACGTAACAGAGCCATTTGTTGTGAGAACAACCGCTTCTAGTTTTCCCTTTGCAATCACTCAGTCCAAAAATAATTCCCATATGTCAGTAATTGCATGAATTATGTCATAATAGCAATAAAAATGCCATTATCATGACTTATGCACGTCACTGCTAAGCATTCATTCCTTATTGACGAGGCAAAGGTCCGGTTTAATGATAAGAGTTTACCCATTGTACTAGCCTTGAATAGGCAATTAAGCTCGTGATTTTGTTGATTACGACCTTGACGCGATCAAAAGAGAAGAAAAGTCATAAAAATGGGAGATATTCTGAGACGGGTGAGAATATAGGAAATTGGAAATCCGAAATATCCCCTTTTCCGTGTATTTCTTTGGACAGGATTTGTGGTCAGGAATTGCATTCGTAGAGTTCAATAATTGAGCTGTAAAATGTCCTAAGCCTTTAAAGTAATATATTGTGGATCGATCATACTGTCAAGTTGTTCCCCTTGGTACCAAATTTTAAGGGAGTTCCATACGAAGTATGACCTTTACATTGCCGTAGACAAGTTTTTAACAGCGCTGTAACTTTTTCGAACTATTCCGATTCGCCAACAACTTTTTCAAGATTATTTTCCTATTGAGATTGCTCTATTTACACAATTTCGTACTGTAATCATGCAGCGGCCCAAAATTTTCCCTTTTGGGGGGAAATTTTCTTGAACAATGACACACTTTGCTAGGCCGGAATTGTCTTATTACATGCAGCTTCACGCGGCGATTCATTGCACGGAAATTTTTTCGTTATAAAAACATTTTGGCTTGTTTTAATAACATAACTGGGCTTTTTCTCTTCATTAAATATAGAATCGATAGCATGACAAAATGGACGACATCTATAAGACGGATCGAACAATAAAATAAAATGGAAAAAGTGAATTAGCGTAATTATTGGAAAATTTGCAGAGAAATGAATTTTTATGTGTATAAGTTCAATTCCTGGCTAAAGAGAAGAGTTGAAGAATTTTAAACAAAACAAATTATTATTTTTTTAAAAATTACGCTACTCATCTGCGTCTGATAATTCTTTCAGGACTTTATTGTCTCTCTCTATAAACGTGCGGAAAATTACGTACTCAATAATCATCATCGCCAGACCGACGCAGAAATTGAACAAATTCGAGAATATCGCGAAGCAATAGAAACAATCTATCATTTAAGAGGTGAACGACGACATTCCAGATCACAGACGGTTCAGCATGTGTCAGGTAATTCAAATGTTCAGTTATATCACCTTAAAGAGATGTCATTTTGTGTAAAGGGAGTTCCGTCCTTCAGAAGAAGCTCCAACACTTGTTTTGAACGAGACGGATGTGATTGACGCTACTCCAATAATACAAATTGCGAATCAGCAAGTGATTCCGTCGAAAGATGAGCTTTACGCAGTATACGAAAAAGCTTTAGAACGCCATAAAAAGATAGTGATGAAGAGACAAAAAACCATAGAACAACTGGAGGATCCCCAAATTCCAGAATTTGTCGTTACAGCTGCGGAGAATTCAGAGGAAGAAGTTATCGTTGCTGAACAGTTGGAGAAGGTTCCACGAATTAGTTCGAATTGCTCCACATCGGCTCAACCTCAACCAACAGTTTTGACATGCGAAGCTGAGCTCAAGCAAGTTCTTGAAAATTTGAATCCAGTGTCTTTGAAGGAAAAAATTGAGGCAAAAATTGAGGAATCAGAGGTTGAAGAGGTGACTGAGCCAAAAATGCGTCCAGCGGTAACATCCAAGCACTGTCCAGAAAGGAGAAATACTGTAGCTACAGTGCCCACATTGCGAGAAGTCGCTGGCAAAGATGTCATAGTTCTCGACAAATTTGATTTTATAGGAGAGTTTGAGAGGAGATGTGGGAGAAAAAAGGCTGCACCTGGCCTAAGGATGAATCTTCCTGTGATAGGAAAACCTCAGAAGGACAACATCCAAAGCTATCGCAGAAAAGGCTTATTTGACGACGTGGACTATCGCAGACCTCCAAATTTGCACAAATTTCACTCTTTGGATAAGGACGATCGCATAGCAGCAGCACATAGCATATACACTTGCGAGGAAGAGAAGGAACTTGAAGGCGAAGCCACTAATGAGGACATTCAGAATAATAACAACTCATTTGAATCCTATTTGACTGGGAAAATTATAAGAGCAGTTTTAGCAGAAAAGCCAGTGAGTCCAATTTCTCCTACCAGAAGAATGTCAATGATTAGTTAATCTGTATTTTGCCTTCAGATAAAAAATACAAAAATCAGAAAGCTTATACCTCATGTGGTTCGTTTTTTTAAAAGTTTGTTTTGCATTTCTGGTATCTTTCTCATTTGTTTGTTCATTCCATGGATTACTGAGTTACTTGGGAACTTTCTCTACTACGCAGTAACCATACTACAGTGGAAGAATTAATATGCTGATAATGAATGCTTGCAAAGATTTGAATTTCCTTCATTTAATATTGATTACTCGTGCTCATAAAAGTCTTGTTCATCTGTATAAATATTTTCATCATTTCGGCCTCAATCAGCTCCATTCATAATGTACTAATACAGTTCTTTATGATGAAGGCGCAATGAAACATGATGGAAATTTTCTCAAAGATCAGAGTTGTTTTTCTGGAAGTGGGAGGGCCTTTAAAAAAGTGGGAATGCTACCACTCATATTGGAGATTTCTGAAGTTTTTGAAGCAGAAACCTGTTGCAAATTGCATTCTGCCAATACTTGAACGGTTTGCAATTTTCAAACAGGATTTGGACGCTCAATAAGAGACGCAACTTACATTAATATTCAAAATCTTCTTAAAATAATAATGCTATTTATAATATTACAGCTGTATTCCATCTATAAACAAAATGATGCTTATCATTTTATGAATAAATGTTGGTTCTTTCCAGAAAGTATATGTTTGGAAGGAGATTAGTGAAAAGATAGTCATTCAAATTAGTCATCCTTGATCGTAAACAATGTTCCATAGGTTAAAATTCAAAAAAATTCGAATTACAATTCCAGTTCAAGGCTGTTTGTTCCGGACAAGAAATAGGAATTACAGGAAATACATAATTAAAAAGACATTTCTAATGCACTTCGGTTGAATTGAAGGACTGAAAAGAGGAAAACTTAAATTTTTGTCATATTCTCAATAAACGGCGCCTTATTGATATTTAGCACGATGTGGGTTTATGAGTGTCAAATATG